ATATAAGGAATCAACAAGACCCCACTTTTCACAGGTTCAAAGGTGTACAACTCTAAAGCTTTCATTTGTGCATAGAGTCCCTGAGATGGTTGCTTGAGAAAGGCTGCCTAGGGAATTTGTTCCCTGGGATTCATTTTACAGTGCTCACCTACCCAGGTACTCAGATGCCTCTGTAGTCATGACCCTGTGGCTGCTGCTTGAGCTGGCAACTGACCTTGACATCATCCAGTGGTGCTGGTTTTATACGGATGGAGGATGTAAATGTTATAAGGTCATGGAAGCTTCCACCCAGATTTCAGAAAGAGGCCTGGGAGGCCAGGCAGCATTCCATGAGAGCACAATGTAGGAAGCTGTGAATGAAGATGAAAGTGGAGAAAAGGCCACAAAAAGCTGGAGACACAAAGAACATGGAATGTCTACTGAGGACAGGCACAAGCAATGAGTGGAGCCACTTCAAGAAAGAGGCCCTAAGGGCTGCAACTGGCAATGCTTTAAGGACTGGGACACCCAAGCCCTTAGAGCTCACATCTCATCCCAGCTGGCCCTTTGAGCTAGCCAGAGCTGTAAGATTTAATGTCTGTACTGCTGGGTTCTGTCCTGCCTTTGGTCCCATCCCTTTGTATTCTCTTGTATCCCCCTTTTGAAATGGGAATGTTTACCCCATGTCATTGTATGCTGGAAGTGTTTTAAGTTTTTTTTTTTTTTATTTTTACAGGGGAACACAGCTAAGACTTTGCCTTGAGTCTCAGACAAGACTTTGGACCTTAACCTTTTCAGCAATGCTGTAACTGTTAAGACTCTGGTGACTCTTAGAGATGAACTAAATGCATTTTGCATAATGAAACAGACATATGCCTTCTAGGGACAAGAGACTGAATGTTAAGGTTTAGATATAAAATATTTCCTCAGATCTTCATGTGTGTGGAAGCTAAGGGGATGATGGAGGTGCTATACTCATTAGTGGATTCACCTACTGATGAGTTCGGTAGTTGAATGTGCTATTAGGAGGTGGGGCCTCATTAGAGGTAAGTCACTGGGGGTATGAACTGGAAAAGTGTATTCTTGTCTCTGGCTCCTCTCTTCTTTCTCTGCTTCCTGATTCATGGATTCAACTGCTTTCTTCTATGACCTTCCTCCCAGTCATTATCTGCCTTGAAGCCAGCTCACCATGGACTCATAATAGAAGCCAAAATAAACTTCTCCTCCTTTAAGTGTTGGATATTTTGTCTCAGGGATAGAAAAATGATTAAGACAAGCCCCAAGCTAATATAGGAAATAAAAAACAGAAATAGAGAAATAGAATGGAGAAAACTAAGGAAATAATAGTTGATATTTTGAAAAGATTAACAAAATTGGCAAACATTTAGTACATATGATTATGAAAAAAGACTCCAACTACTAGAATCAGAAATGAAAAGACTCTGCCTTATAAAAATAAAAATACCATAAAGGAATACTATGAATAATTTCATATTGTCTTAGTTACTTTTCACATGGCTGAGACAAAATACCCAAAACACAAAGTTAAAGGAGTAAAGTTTATTTGGGCTCACAGTTTGTAGAAATTTCAGCCCATAGCCTGCTGGTTCCAAGGCAGAGTGGCATGGCAGAAGGGTATCAAGGAGGAAAAACATTCCATGGAAATATATCATGGCAGGCAGAAGTCAGTAAGCAGCAAGCAACAATAGCAGCAAGCAACAGCAGCAACCTTCTGTCTCTCCCTTGTATTCCATCCAGGCTATCCCTTCTTAGGGTGGGTAGCATTCACACCCAATGTGGCACACCCTTAACCTCAGTACCACATACTCAATCTCAGTATCACACTCTTAATCCAAGCATCAAACACCCTAGACTCAGCCACCTCTGGAAAAATATCCCACCTCTGAACACATGAGGCTTTAGCGGGACATCTAGATAGACGCCATAACATAGAGCAACAAATTCTATAACCTAAATGAAAGGTGCAAATGCCTAGAAACACACATTACCAAGACTGACTAAAAACTAAAATAATATGACTATAATTACAATTAGTGTAGAGATTGAGACTGTAATAAAAAATCCGCCAAAAAGGAAAAGTATAGGATCAAATGGTTTCACTGGTGAGTTCAGAGAAATTTAAAGAATTATTATCATTCTTTCTCAAATTATTTTAAAGGAAACAAGAGAGGAAATACTTCCTAATTTAATCCACAAGGCCACTACTGTCCTGATATCAATGTGTGGCCAAGTATATTAGCTTTCTAGCACTGTAGCAAATACATAAAAAATCAATTCAAAAGAGGAAGATTAATTTTCACTCATGGTTTCAGAGGTTTCAGTCCATAGTTACTTGGTTTCACTGTTTCTGGGACAGGGCTGAAGTAGTATGTTATAGTGGGGAGTGTGTAGTGAAGTAATGTTACTCACTTCATGGTAGGTAGGGGTGAGAGAGCAAGGCAGAGAGAGGAAGAGGCTGGGGATAAGATATAGCCCCCAAAGGCACATCTCATTATCTTCTCTCTTCAACAAAGCCTCACCTCCTAAGTTTATGCCACCTTCCAATACTGTCATCCAGTTATGAATATATCAATGAAGGAATCGACTGACAATGCCCTCATGATCCAATCAATTCCCAAAAGACCATCCCTGTCAAATAAGGCTTTTAGGATATGGCCTCTGGGAGAACATTCTAGATACAAACCACTACACAAAGATACTACCAAAAAAAAAAAAAAAAAAGCTACAGGCCAATAGCTACAGAATCCAACAGCATATTAAAAGGCCCCAAGGAGACAAAGGAAGTATAATGCACTAAAGTAACACACCACATTTACAGAATGAAGAAAGTATATGATTAGTGATCTAGGAAAATCACCTTGACAAAACCCAACCCCTTTTCACGATAAAAGCACTCAATAAATTAGGAATACAAGAAAACTTCGCTAACACAATAAAATGCATATACAAAAAATCTCTAGCTAATATCACATCCAACAATGAAAGAATGAAAGCCTTCCCCCTAAAATCAGGAACAAGTGAAAGATACCCATTTTCATCCTTCTAGTCAACAAAGTACTAAAAATATGAGCCTGAGAAATGAGGCATAAGGAAAAAAGGCATCCAGATTAGAAAGGAAAAAGTGAAATTATCTCTATCTGCAGATGACATGAATTTTTATGTAGCAGAGTCTTTAAAATGCAGAAAATAACTATTAGAGCTAATGAACAAATTTAGAAAAGTTGCAGAATAGATCAGCATATAAAAAAATATGTAATTGTTGCTGAAGAACCAGTAATTAAAATGGAAGATCTTGCCATGTGTAACAAGCCTTTTCCATCATGCCTTAATGAATATATGCCAGCTTTGCATTTCTAACCTGAAAGCTGGTAATACAAGCTTATTTTGTCAAAATTGAGAAATGCATTTTTTTACCCTTTCCAGATTCTGATATTATTTTACTTCAAATATTATGATGACTGATGAGCTTTTACTATTTGTACTCTAGATATTACAGCTGTAAAGGCAATTAAGAGTTGACAACTACTAGTCTCAGAATTCCTCAGGGACCATACTAGTAAAACAATCCTAAGAAAAACTACCTTTGACACAACTATATTACATGAAAATCAGCAAATGGAATAATAGCATTTTTACTTTGCTGTACAATAATTTTGAACTTACAGTTGAAAGAGAATTTACTTTCTTTTGTCACAAAAAATTTTAACTAAGGGATTTCATAGATAATGAAAAAATTCAGTGAGGAAATAAATACTGACTATATATCTGTCATGATTATATCTTCCTTTTAAAAATCTTTAGTGACAAAGTTCGGTTATTTGCCAGTTTCAGATAAACATTTACATACAATGAAAAAGACAAGCAATATATTTCTTTGTCTTTCAAAATCAGTTCAGTTTATCTTACAACAGTCTGAATCCCTTTTAAGAATCCATTAATGCTTGGAAGATTTTTCTGTGATAATGAGAACCCTGCCAAGCCAGGAAAAACATATCCAATAAAAATATATTGACTTAAATTGAGCTATCTAACATGCGTGTTTTATCCTCTCCCTGTATTTTCAGATTTTTGTCCTCATATCTTTCAGAAGATAATATATCTCATTTTCAGATGAAGAAATTATATCCAAAAAGAATAAATATGACTTTTGCATATTTATTTCGAACAAATAAACTGGATATTTATTGAATATCTAACAGACACTAAACTAAAAATGGAGAATCCAAATCAAGATTTTTTTCCTTTCCTGGTGGATCACAGCTAACTTGGTTGGTGAGAGGTATCTTTTTGAAGTGGTGACAGAAGTCAAAGAACAGATTTCAATTTAAAGAGTAACTGGAAAGGGGAGATCCTTTGCAAAAGGAAAGGGCAACAAGAGATGGAGAGCGGGGAAGGAGGAGACGTGAAAAGAACTGAGATGTCTCTGTACAAGCACCAACTCCCCAGGATAAATTGAACCATGTACTGCAAAGTCGTGCCAATAAAAATAAAACAGAAAAACTGATACCACAAATAGTTAAGCCAAAGAAATTGTAGCCTGGTCCATGCCAAGCCCTTCATAAAATTATGAACCTGCTATACATATTACCTTACACGTGACAGTGAAATGGGTGAAGGGACCTAAAAGGCAGACACAGCTGGACAGCAACATCTCAATCAAGACAGCCTTCCCCAAACTCTCATCCTCATCATTTCAGAACCCGGGGCGGGGGGAGGGCTGTGAACCCCAACCTGAGCACAGTGCGCCCCGTGACCCTGCGGGATTTATCTACGGGGGAAACAGCGCGAGGCCCTCGCCCCGCAGGGACGGAGGAGCAAAGACCGCGCGCTGTCTGCCACCGAGGCAGGAGGGTCTCCGGACCTCGCACCCCCACCTCCTCCCGGGGCTTCTCTCCTGGTTCCCAGCGCCCGACGCCAGCGCTGGCCGGTGACGTCTCGCAGCCACCGGGCACACCTGGACCCAGGGACGGCCGGGAGGCAGGGCAGAACCTGGGCGTCACCTTTTGATGTATCTGGCGTCCTCCCCTCGCGTGGCGGCGGCGGCTGCGGCTGAGAGGCCGCGGGCCACTCCCGGAAGACGGGTCTCGCACCCTCACCAAAGACGACCACACTGAAGCCAGTGAGGCAGGCAGCTGCGGCGCTGTGCTTCCACCCTGAAGCCGTGGCTCCTCCCACAGCGATGGTCCCTAACTGCCACAGGGAACTCCCCAGGGGCCGCTGTGGAGCCCTCCTGAGGCGCATGCGTCCGCACCCTGAAGAACCCGGATGCGCAGCTGCAGCCGGGAGGCGCTGGGGTGGGGGCGTCTGAGACTTGTGACACTCCCCGGGAAGGTTTTGGTGCTGACCTGAACGTCTATGGGCAGTAACAGTCGGCAGAATTGGAATTTCAGGTCCTTAGCTGGAAAAGAGGGAAGGGAAGTCGATGAATCTTTAACAAATGCTGTTGAGCAGTCCAGCCTCCAGATCTATGTCTACTCCTCTACTGCTCCATGACTCTCCTGTGGCTCTCCCTCAGTCACTGTGGTAGAGTGATGCCAAGGAAGTCGGAAGTGTGGTTGTTCTGTGACTCAGTCTTCAACAATTAATCTTCTCCCAAAATGGCTCCTGATTAAATCCTCTCAAATATGGAGGCAGCGGCACGGGATTTCTTCTCTACCACTAGCCTTGCAGAAGGAGTCACTTTCAGAGCAAAACCCCACCCTGGTTTTTCAGTTCACAGTAGCTGTGGGCTTTTCTTGGGGCCAACTGCCAGCCCAGTCCATTATTTCCTCTCTTGAGCTGGTGACCCTTTCAGGGCTTAACTCTGTCGGTGGAGACAGGTCCCCTTACTCAGGGTCTGGGGTCAGCTTACCAGACTGTTTTTTTCTCTGTTGTTCTCTGTATTGTGCTGTTTCTCTAGCTTTGGAGTTTCTAGTTTTTCTTTCAACTCCCTCTAGCAATTTTGGAGATCCACTTCTTTTTTCTCTTCACTGAATTTTTGTTTGCTAGGTATCTTGATTCCCAGATAGGTCCCAGAGAGGCTGGGTGTTTTTTTGTTTTGTTTTGTTTTTCTGCTTATCTTTGTTCCATTACTTTTATTCATCCTACTAGTCATTCTAAAGTTGGCCTGTTGTATTTTTCAAGGATTATCTGCTGGGCATTTTGGAGTTGGTTACTCTCAGGACCATCAAATGCTTTACTTCCTCTTCCCTTGTTGTCAACAATTTGCATTTACCTACTTGTGTATTGAAGTTTATATTGTACTTTTTCACCCAGTTTTGTTATCTCATTGCTCTTTTTGAGAAGAAACAACAGCAACAACAAAACATATGCTGCCATTGCCATCATTCCAGAATCCCACAATTTATCTTTTCTTGTTCTTTTTTTTTTTTTTTTTTTTTATTTTAAGGATAAAAGGAGGGAAACATTAACAGACATGCAACATTTTACAACATATCACAAGCACAATACAGACAATACAGAGTTCCAAACA